GGACACGCTTTGCGGATATCTGACACGAGGCTTGGCCGTTTGGCACGATGAAAGACATCCAAAACACCACCCCCAGGTGAAAAGTACCCCAGTACATCTAACACTGATGTATGTAGACCGATTCATAAAGCCCCCATTTGGATTGAAAACACCTTCACCTTATGGGAAATCACTAACCGTTTTAACCTTAAGTGGCAGATCTTGTTCGTCGAAAGTGGCAGCAAAGTTTGCCAACTCGAGCATGCCAGGGTCTGTGGTGCCAGAGAACAACACCTTTCGTGTGATCTACAACAAGCTCCTGCGCTCTGTCGGATGCTCAGACTTCAGCTCCTCGCACCTTTTGGCCATTTCCGTCGTACGTTGGAGTCTTGATGAGTCCGGTCTCTGTGGAGTCTTGATCGTTCGGCTGTGGAGACGGGATTGGCAGCCGAACGATCAGGCACTGGTTGGCCAGGCCAAGGAGTGGATGGTATTGGTTTTAGGGGTGGATGGTATTCTGTGTCCATGGAGTCTTTGGGGTGTTGATTTTTGTTCCGTTGCTGTCCTGGGGTCGGCCCGGGTAGCCTTGCATTTGGTGACAAAATGTGTTCTTTTGTAGGAAGTGTGGAGGTGGGGACCCTCCATGTTTCTCCATCTAACAACCCAAAGACTGACAAAGTTGAGCACCAAAGGACGATCATCAGGACATGTTATCAAGACCTTGGGCTGACAGAGTGGAGTTGGGCATGTCTCCCACTTTTCTCTTTAGGGCGTGTAGCGTTTCGTGTTATTCTATACGGCCCATATTTGGCCGTACACGCGCGCGAGGCACCCCTCTCCTCCCACTGGCTCTGCGATTACCAGGTTTTTTTACCTCAGACAGGCCTTGTCCTTTTCGATATCCGCCCAGTCATGTGGGGACATACCAAGCGCATTCTTCACTTTTGTTTTCTGCACAAAGCAAAATTCCCATACCCCACCCCGTCAAGACCATCAACGCGCGCTGTTTCTTCGCGCAACGTGCATCAACACTACACTACTCATGTATCGTAGACGCGAAGATCATCCGTATTCTCACAACTACACATCCGTTAGGATAAACATGCATGAAGCACCTTCCGCGTACCATGAAACCATATCACAAGTAAGTAAAACTAATGATAAGTATGTGTCACAAAACCAGTCCATAAACTCCGCACATCCAAATGAAGCCCATATTTGTCCACAGTATCAGATTGGGGCAGGCGAGATCCTGTTGAAAACATGGTGGACAGCGACATATGCGGACAGCGATGGGTGGAGGATTCACCGATTCAAGGAAGCTCGGTTTGCGGAAGCCCTCCCGATGGGCGAGCAATGGACCGGTCCTGGCTAAACCCACCTTGAACTGGGGAATTGGGGGGGATTGAGGACGCCCCACTGCATATGAACCAGGGGGATTGGGGGGGCCGGGGGATTGAGGAGGCAAACTGCATATGAACCGGGGGGAAAAGGGTTACATGTACCAGGACCGACACCTCTTGAGGTGTCTATCAATAGCCTCTTAGAGGTTAAGGGTGTCCAGAGACCGCCTGTTGGAACATCCTGGTATATGTTATACCCTAAGAATCCGGGCCGATGGTCCACACACATAGGGTTTTGAGGGTCCAGACCCCTGCGTTTCGGTGTCGGGTCCGACCCCTGCCATGGAGAGCCCGTTTGGATTCTTAGGGATATAACTACTGCCGTTGGCAATAGCGAGTTGCTGCCGAAAAAAAGCCATGTTGGGCGGAGAACTCGCTACCAGGTGTTGATACCAGGTCTGGGTGGTGGTTTCAGCTTTCTATGTTCATCCTTTGCCTGGGATGATTAAACCCACTGACTCATATGTATCAAGTGAGTTGAAACCACCAAGCAGAGATAGAAGAGGATGAAAACTCACTGTAAACCACCAGACAATTAGACCACATATATTTCAGGGAGAACGCTGCAAGGATGGCAAAGAGGAAAAGAGACTCGAACTTGTCTGAAAACACTCCGACGAACACATCACATGGTGGTGACGTGGATGGCATGGCCCCGAAAGGACCGGATGACCCCAGGGTCATCCTCCACAAAGGGACCGGACATGTTCCACTTGGACCGTGAGTCGGAGTGAGTCGGGCCAGAAATTCACTCACGGAAGAACGCCGCTCCGTCGTCCAGAGACGGCGAGGAAAGCCCAATGTAGTCTCTGGCGAGCGTCCCCAATTCGACCGCTCCAAGCGGCTCCAACAGTGTTTACAAACACACCAAAAAACACAAACACACACAATCACACATATTATATACTATATATATATAGCTATATTATGTTATACACGATATATATATATATCAGATTATATCAGTATATGATAGTATATGTGTTCTCCTTTGGAAAATGCAGGTCATCCACTTCCACGGCGGCTACCGCCAAAACCTCTCGTTGCTGGCGCTGGGCAGCACCAATGCCGCTGAGCATGTGGAGGACCGGCGCCAGCGACGAAATCCCATGGAACGTCAAGCCCCGTTGGAACGTTTTTTTGGGGGTGCATTTGGGGACATGCCACTCTAAAGATAAGCACGTGGACGGTACGGTGAACAACCCTTTTTCCCTAGAAATCGAAACGGTTCGGAGTTAGGACATGCACCGGTGGAACATGGCCACGGACGAAGGTCATGTGGAGCAGATTGGCTTGTTGGTGCATTCCACAAACGGCGACCCTTGGAAGCACAGTCCCATAGACACCAGGACCCGACTCACGTTGGATCCAAGAGCCACCGGAAGAGACCTTTTGGACGCGTCGGGTGCTGGTGTCTATCATCCAGGAGAGAGGTGTGAACGATGTGATGTGAGAGTAGATGGCTGTGCCCAAAGTCGACTAATTAAGACGATTAAGGTTGTACTGCGATCTAATTACTCTTAATTCAATCTCCAGGTCCACGTTGAAGCACGTGTGAATCCTTTTTTGGAGCAAGAAGAATGAATCTGTGAGGAATACCTGGGTTTGTTTACGCAGGACTCATTGCAGCTACCCCGCACTTCCTCTTCAGCTCCATGAACTCCTTGCAACTGTGAAGCAAAAAATAGGCGCCCAAATCCCTTGGACACATTGGGTGGACTGACCATCCCCGATGGTCCCAAGAATTTCACCTCTGACAATTAGATACGAATGCCCCCAACTCTCCCTATCAACCAACAACCAACTGTGCCCACAGTGTTTGCTGCCATCCTCCAGGATGCCGTGCGCTACTTCCATGAGACCTTGGACCTCTACACAGACAACACCTCGGTGAGGGTGAAGTATCTCCAGGTTCATAGCAGTTCCTTGGCGTTTTCAGGTGCTTCGTAGTGTTGACCCCGTTGGAGATCTGTTTGTTAAGATAGTTATAGACATATAGATACATTATATACCGTATACAGTATAGTGCGTTCAAGGGGGGGTTGATTCCGGGCAAAGATAGCCATGTCCTTGACGCGAAGTTGGGTTCAGTGCCAGGAGTGATCGAGTGACTGCATGGGGCATAGAGGATCCCAGTCATGTCGCATCACATCCACTCCATGTTCAGAGGATCCCAGTCATGGCCCAGGTGATGCACTGGAGCTGGCGCAAGAGGTACTACCCACCCTCAGGCGAACCGAAAAATCCCGTCGTGCTCCACCATCGGCGCGCGCGTGTTTGGTTATTTTTTCGGCACGCGAGTGTACCTGGACTGGGCTTCAACTGGGTGACTGTGACCTCAAAGAGGACAGATCTTTTTCAGTAGAGAAACTTGACACACTTAGATCCATGCTCGCAACAGCCTAAATCAGTTGTGAAGATCCAGTGAGATTAGCACTTTAGGTGAACAGTTGGCGTTTTTGGGGGTGCCTGTCCCCGCATTGCGGGTTGAGTTCTCGAGAACCCCCTCTTTGAGTACATGCAGCTTTGTGAAAAAAGGAGGCAGCAGAATCTGCATCATCACTTGACGCAAAAACATTGCTTTCAGGATGTTGGCTTGTCAACCTGGTCACTTCAGAGGCAAACGGAAGGGTAGTGGACAGACAGAGTTTTGCAAAAACCTAGTCTACTGCGTGGAAGGGCCAGGACATTCCTGGAACCCGGGGCTGTTTGTGGACGTTTCGTGGAATGGTGGCCAGTAGGAAAACTGACTGCAACAAAAACCCACAAACCTTCGCATAATTGTGTGAAGGTATTTTTGATGCACTAACTTCGAATAAGCCATTTTTGCTGACCCGCTTTCTCCACACACCCTTCATTTAGCCTTCATCACTGGTCCCCCAAAACTGCTCTGAGTTGGAGCCCTTTTATTCTCTTTGCCCCCCAAACATGGATTTTGTGTGACGCTGAGGGGGCATTCCTTGCCACCGCAGGTCCTTCATGGGCTGGTAGCACTACTTCGTGAACAGATGCGTGAACAGAAGTGCGTGCTGCCAGTGCGTTTCACCGAAAAAGCATGCTGCGCTGGCGCGCAGTAGAACGTTTGCGTCGGGCTTTCGGCGGATTTGGGGATGGGTCGTGACCCACGTAGAGCCCGAGCAGTCCACCATGCAGTGAACGAAGGAAAACACCAGCTAGGTCAACGTATCCTGGTCGGTGGGGGCTGTAAACCTCTCAAAGAGGTCGAAAGAAGTCCCCACTGACCCATTGGTCAGTGCAATGCAAGAATCGAATCAACTGAGCAGTTAACAAGTCACATTGAACCGCTTGTTCCCTCTCTTAAACGAAGATAGTGCTTCAGTTGGCAAGACGATGTTCGTTTGTTTCCCAGAGGTGTTTTTAGGCTCAGGTCCATTTGTTCACTTGAGTGAGATGACCCAATGGCTCAATGACTAGACGTCCATCGATTCGTTCATCGAATCAATCGAAAGCGGAGCAACAAGGGGAAGTCCTAGAGCTCGTTGTTGTTAGTTCCACTGTGGAAGTCCATAGGGGCAGCTTTGTCCAATAGGGTATGCTGGGTGGAGCCGCTGTCCCCTTTCGGCGCGGAGAAAGCTGTCAGACGACCCGACCCGGCAGGTGGAGAAGATGCGCTCCGCCTTGGCACAGTTGGCCATGAACCTCCAGTCGGGGTGCACCCAGCGTGGCCAACGGAGGTGTCGGGAGGCCGATCTGCTGGCCGTTCCCTGGTTTTGTGATCTCTATCTTCCCCATTCATGTGAAGCTCCAGCCTTCTGGAGACGATGTGTTTTTGTCTCCCGGTTCCGAACGGGCAAATCCCAGGGTCAAGGAGTCAACTGCAGTCTTCCTGGTTTGCAGTATGTCAATGGCCGATGACACATTGATGTTTTGAAGGTTGGTTCAACTATGGGCTTGAAAACCACATCGAATCGTTGACTCGAAACCTCATGAATGAAGCTCCAAGCTGTGCATGGAGTCATACCGCTTTCATCTTTTCCTCAAGTTGATGGCTCTCCTCTAAAAGTCAACTGATCATGCAAGTTGAGGAGCTACTGTGTGTGTTCGCTCTTTTTCGCCATCTCCATGGCAGACCTTGTGGAGGATTCCGTGACTCTTTAACAAGGGAGGCCGCTGCCTCGGCTTCTCCTTCCTTTCTCCTTTGTCAAGGCCACCCTGGGACCCCCATCCTGCCCGCCGCGAAAAGCGCGGCCGTTTCTCGATGACTTGGAGCCTCATCTTCTTTGGATTAGCAAGAGTCTTTGGATGTTCTTGGGTTTGTGATCACTAGGACCCACAAAGCTCATGTATTGAAAACAACAATAGCAAAACAAGACTCAGCAGAAGACTCAACCTGAAAGGAAAACTCAGAACCAGAGTCAATAATGAAACAACTCAGACCAGAACCTTGAGTGTAAATTTGTTTGTTTGTTTGTTTTAGTCTCTCATTTTTGGTCGTTCTTGATTTGTTGTTGTCTTGATTTTGGACTTTTGTGACGAGATCGTGGTCACAACTTTAGCCCCCGAAATGCAGTCTTGTTCTCCAGCCGGAACACACCGGCCCTTTTTGGGCTTGGCCTGCTGCGCCTGCTGCGCCAAGCACAGACACAGTCGAGCCAATCTTGGCGGGACCGGCACAACTTCCTTCCACATGTTTGGGCCGAGTCCGCCGAAACTCCACGTCCGACCCAGGAAGCTATCCCTTTATTGGTGCCATAAGCCATATAATATATATATTGTCACCCCCAAATAGATAGAAAAGTAAATCTCCATGACATCACCTCGAAGTAGGCGCGGCTGAGACTCCATTCCGAAAGTAGATGGCTGTTTTCATGAACAAAAGGGAGACCGAACCGCCGGCGTTCCGAACCCCCCTGGAAGGTTTGGAACAGAAACCAGTCAAACCATTCGACCGTCTTTAGGGGGTGTCAGAGTCTTTAGGGGTTTTACACACCTAGATCTTCCCAGATGCCTTGGATCCTTTTGCTCCTTAAAGGCTTCCACGGGCCTCCACTCACCTCTGTTCGACTCCGCGCAGCCGCCTGCGGCCGACGGAGTCGAACGACTCACGAAAGAACGACCTGGTGATCTTTTTTCCCCAGAAAGAAAGCAAATGCGTCTCATCACAGAAACCTGGTTTTTGCTTTAAGGGCCGTGTTTTTTTGACCTTTTGTTCTCCCTCATGTTTGAATCCACTTGCTGTGGAAGAGAATTGATTTCCCGGACAAGCAAATCCAAGTAACTGGAGCTCTATTATCAGTCCTTTTTCTGAAGGAATCTTGATTGGACACCCAAAAAGGATGGTCCAGCTAGGAGGGCCACCATTGGTACAAAAGACCTATAGGTCTTTTGTTGTATTTTTTTTTCCAGCATCCTGGACAAGCAAAAGAATGCATATAATAGGCTTATACTTCCAGAACCTATAAGTGACCTCTGTTCCGGACCACCAACCACCCGAAGTACGGTCAAAAATCCTATCAAAACAGGAGTCATGTTTGGGTTCCAGGTACATCTCCCATACACTCCATGTATAGAATATACGCCCACATTGACCCCGCATACATGGAGAGTCTGAGTATACTCGATCCATCCACGTTCTCGTCCGCTGAGCGAGCGCCATCCACCGCGACCGAGGCAGGCATCGGAGAGCTCTGAGCCCAGCCGTTGGGTGGACGCCTTCGCCGCTCGGTATGGTGGCAAGCGTCCGAAGTCCAAGACGAAGTCCGATGGTGATAGTTCTCCAAACAATCTGGGTAACACTCTATATAGTATATAGAGAGTTCTTACGGTAGGTGTTAAAGTCCGGGTGTTTGATTACTGATGGGAGGTTCTCATCGGCGTGTGCGGCTAATTCGTGGCAGGCGCAAGGGAAACCGGGCGCGTGTTTTGGTGGTCCAAAGTCGACTTTTCGCAGCAGGTGCAGTACCTTGGACATGGTGGTGGTCTTCGGCGCGCTCTGATTTCGTGGCAGGTGCAGTGAATCGTGACCTTTGGACACCCGACTCGTTTTCAGAAATCGCCGGAAGTCTTGAGTGAAAGCTGCGCCTTGGCACTTTGTGGGCCTTGAAGTGCAGTTTTCGTGGCAGGCGCGGCATTTTGTGGACCTTGAAGTGCAAGTTCCGTGAAGCACATATTATATATATATATTAATAGTTATTCTATATGTGTCCTTATTCAAACCCTGTCAAACATATACAAGATATTATCTTCAAAGGGTGCCCCTTTAGACTCCCACCATCTGCAACTATAGACAAACCTACAATAATCAACCCCCCTCCAGCCCTGCTGGCTTGTCCTTGCCTTGTGCTTTCCGTTTTACTTTTAAGTTCTCCTATCTTCTTCTTATTATTATTCTTCTTTCTTCTTGTTGCATTTCCTTCTTTTGTGGAATCTTTATCTTTAATCTTTGCCCATCAGGTTTCCAAAAACATTGGCTAGCCAAAAGCTTTAGGTTTCCTTATTCAAACCCTATCACACAAATACAACAAATTGTCTTCAAAGGGTGCCCCATTAGAACCCCACGCCCCTCAAATATAAACAAATCTACAATAATCAACCCCCCTCCGGCCGCGCTGGCTTGTCCTTGCCTTGTGCTTCCCCTTTTGCTTTTAACAAAGGAAAGATTCTCTCAATGAGTGCAATGCAAGAGGCCAGGGATGATTTGAGCCTATCCGTCAATGACTTTCTTCGCCCCAGAAAAGAAAAGTACACGCGGTAGGACTTTGAGCCCAGGACCTTTAGCTTCTGAGCTCGACTACAATACCACTAGGCCACACGGGCGCTTGACAACAGGATAGACGTATGAAATCTGCCTGCCTGTCAGCTGAGGGGCTTTTTCCCCTTAAGCCACAAAACCAAAAAGCACGAGCCGGGACAAACTGAGCACACTGCAAGCAGTGGTCATTTTGGATACAGGTCAGCAATCTGTCCTTCCCTGCCTCATGGCTGCCGACCTGCGGCTCGAGAGCACAGTGAAGAAGCCACGCACTGATGGAGGGCGCTTTGAACCAAAACGACGCCAATGAAAATTGCATGGTTGGTTGTTGGCTGGCTCCTCTGACAAGAACTGGGGACTGTTGCGCCAAGGGAGCGCAGGCCAATCCATCTCCTTGGAACATATGCGGTTGCTTCATGGCCACGTGTTGCGCGGAGTGCCTAGGTTCCAAAGTTGCACTTCTTTCAAGCAATGTCTATTAAAGTCTTCGGTGCGCGTCGGGCATGTAGGGCCATGTTAGCAAACCGCCAGTGAATGGTGGATTGTATTGCTTAGGCTCTTCAGCTAAGCAGCAGCAAAGGCTACTGAAACGCTAGTCCAAAAATCAAAAACACCGTTCCTCGGCTTCAAGTCCTTGATAAGTTTTTGGTTTGGCGCTGTCGAGTTATGGCTCCGAACGTTCCTTGGCCACGCCGGGTTTCCAAGAGAGAGGTTGCCCGGGCTCCATCTCGGCAGGTGAATGCTGCAAGTTTGTTTACGATGGCAGGTGCAGCAGCGCTGTCTACTGCGTGCATTGCAACGGCGTTTGCCACATCCTTGAAAGCGCCTCAGGCGGCGAGATGTCGCATAGCCGCGCAGCGGAACATGGAATTGAAGGGTTTTAGAGCAGAGTATTAAAGTTTGTTATAAGGTTTCTATATGTGGAAAGAGAAGAAGAAGCAAAGAAACATACACCGATTTTGTTTCCCGGACAAAGGCTTGCATACGCAGCGTATTGCGTTCTCGACTCTGGGACCTGAGACTCCACTGGATAAATGTTTGGTTTCATGTTGTTTGCCCTGTAGATAGGCGCCGCAATGCAAATCCTGAAGAAACATGAGCGCAATTGCATCAGGACCCGACTCCTGCATCTCCAGACCTCTAGACCTCCCAACCTCCCTGCATGTCAAGACCTCGACCTCTTTTCAACCTCTCTCAAACACCAGATCGCTACCCCTACCTCCCTAGAACTTTGGACCTCTACTGCCTCTCAAGACCTCACCTCTTCATTTTGTAGGTGTGTAGATGTAGTGTTCTTGGATCTCAAGACCTCTAGAGGACCTCAACCTCTAGACCTTGAGATCTGTAGGTTTCTACACCTCTACACTCTAAGCCAGATCTCGACCTCTAAATCTCTAGCCCACCAGACCTCTCAAGGTCTTTGGAACTCTGATGTAGTGTTCTCGATGTGTTCTTGCGTCTCAAGCTCTAGATCTCTGCTAGACCTCTGCACTCTGGATCCCAAGACCTCTAGACCTCTGCGTCCCTAGACCTCAACCCAGACCTCTAGACCTTGAGATGTCTGGGTTTCTAGACTAGACCTAGACCTCTAGATCTCGAAATCTCTAGTAAGAGCTCCCAAACCTCTGGATTTTCAGGCCTCCAGAGCTCTAGACCTGGTAGGCCTTTAGATGTAGTGTTCTCGCATCTCTACGAAGCTTAGACCTCTAGACATGACCCTCTAGACATCTGCATCTCTCTCTGGGTCTCAAGACACCGAGCTCCTTTCTTGGAGGAACAACATGATGAAAGAAGAACAGGCTGCGATGTCCGACATTGGGCGGCTGATGCTGGAACATTGGCGTCAACATGTAGACGGCCTGGCCTTTTCCTCACTTCCTGCTAGTATTGCTGAGTATGGCAGCGATTGCCTGAAGCTCACGAATGTCCTCCAAAAATCTGCTCAGAGTGGTCATCCAGTTCACAGCCGGTCAGTGCAGCCTGCTGTGCAAGGGCTGGCTTTGCAAACTACTTCTGCTGATCCTGACGCTAGCTTTGGTTGCCAACAGCAGCAGCAGCACCAGCAGCAGGAAAAACCCGATTCCGAGGAAAGTCGAACGACAAGTCATTCCAAATCCCTGTCTCAGCATAGGAAAGCGGGGCATAATGTGAGTGGGTGAGTTTATATCAAATTTGCTAAGCAAAACTACGTCGCTTTACTTCGAGTGATCCCCACCATGACATTTCAAAAGAGCCACGTTGACATCACCCCCGTTGTGTATTTCAGCCCATAGCACAAGTCCTTCAGGAGACCTGTGCCCAACTAATAATACAACTCAGATCCTCCGGTTGCGCGTTGTGGTTGTGTGTTTGTGGTTGCGTTTGTGATTGTGTTTGTGGTTGTGCTTGTGGTCGCGTCTTTGTCGTTGTGGCGCTGGTCGTGTTTGTGGTTGTGCACTTGTCATTGCGTGTTTGTGATTGTGGCTGTGGTTGTGTTTGTGGTTGTGTGTTTGTGATGGTGTTTGTGATTGTGTTTGGTGTTTGTGATTGTGTTGGCGGTTGTGTTTGTGGTTGCGTGTTTGTGATTGTGTTTGTGGTTGTGTGTTTGTGGTTGTGTGTTTGTGTTTGTGATTGTGTGTTTGTGGTTGTGCGTTTGTGATTGTGTTTGTGGTTGTGCTTGTGGTTGTGTGTTTGTGATTGTGTTTGTGGCTGCGTGTTTGTGATTGTGTTTGCGGTTTTGTGTTTGTGGTTGCGTGTTTGTGATTGTGTTTGTAGTGCGTTTGTGATTGTGTTTGTGGCTGCGTGTTTGTGATTGCGTTTGTGGTTGTGTGTTTGCGGTTGTGTGTTTGTGGTTGTGTGTTTGTGTTGTGTTTTTGTGGTTGTGTGTTTGTGGTTGTGTGTTTGTGGTTGTGTGTTTGTGGTTGTGTGTTTGTGGTTGTGTGTTTTGTGGTTGTTTTTGTAGTTGTGTTTGTGGTTGTGTGTTTGTGATTGTGTTTGTGGTTGTGTTTGTTGTGTGTTTGCGGCTGCGTGTTTGTGATTGTTTTTGTGGTTGCGTGTTTGTGATTGTGTTTGTGACTGCGTGTTTGTGATTGTGTGTTTGTGATTGTGTGTTTGTGATTTTGTGTTTCTGGTTGTGTTTGCGATTGTGTGTTTCTGGTTGTGTTTGTAGTTGTGTGTTTGTTGTTGTGTTTGTGGTTGTGTGAGTGTGGTTGTGCGTTTGTGGTTATGTGTTTTTGGTTATGTGTTTGTGGTTGTGTGTTTGTGTTTTTGTGTTTGTGATTGCGTTGGTGGTTGTGTGCTGTGGTTGAGATCCGGCAGGGAACACTTGGGCCTGGAGCTCGCAGTCCGGGAGGGAATACTGGGCTGCAGCCAGTGCGCTTCAAGGAGCGCACAGAATGTATAGATTCAGGATGGCCCAGGTTGCTCAAAGCAGCTGGTTTCACTCCTGAAAGGTTGCATCATGAGAAGGGGCTTGCCATTTTGGCGGATTTTGGCTCCAATATTGAACCTCCTTGGTGACCATTCACCACATCATTGTCGGTTGGGTGAGCTAGAGAGGATGGTGAATCTGGGGCTAGTGCCTGAAGTCGCGTTGACCGCGTGGCTGATGGTGCTGTTCCCTGGATACGAGGACCTATCAATCAGCAGGATTCTCGGCACAAAAGCACGCAACTGGTTGCATTTCGAAGAAGTGTGCAAAGAGCTCCCATGTCTGGAACCGAGATCAATTGCGTGGCTCAAGGACAGGTGCACACGCCGCCAGAGGTGGCCTGGAATTCATGAGTGGCGTAAAAAGTTGAAGATGTCCTTTTTGTGTAAAGCACAAAGACTCACTTCTTGGGATCGCACAGCAGAGCTACTTACTTGCACAAGTGAGGCGGATGGTCGTGGTTGAGGTCCGGCAGCAAACGCTGGGCGTGGATGGTCGTGGTTGAGGTCCGGCAGAGAACACTGGGTGTGGATGGTCGTGGTTGAGGTCCGGCAGGGAACACTGGGCGTGGATGGTCGTGGTTGAGGTCCGGCAGGGAACGCTGGGCGTGGATGGTTGTGGTTGAACACTGGGCGTGGATGGTCGTGTTGAGGTCCGGCGGAGGAGAAGGAGAAGGAGGAGGAGGAGATGGGGCTGACGTAAAATCTAACAACCCTCACCTGACAGGTGGGGAACAACAACCATCGAAACGATCCAGTTCAATGTTATAAGTATATACAGGACGTTCTAGAGACCTTTAGATTTTTTGGATCCAGTTCTCAAGATCTTAAGTTGTTGATCTTTAGACCTCTAGAGGTGCTAGGAAAGTTGGGCGGGTACACTGGAAGATTGATACCGTCTGGCTGGGAACGCTTGTGGACGGAACACTCAGAGCGTGCCACGTTTGCGAGTGGGTTAGGTGCATTGGGGATTCTGACCCCTGCATCAGGAGACTTAAGACTTACAATGCAGTGGTCAAGAAGCTCCAGAAGCGATTCATCTCTGCTGGAGCTAGAGACCTCTAAATGTCGGCCTCCAGACCTAGAACTCCAAGGCATCATCTCTCTCAAGACCTCACCTCTAGATCTCAAGAGTTCCAGGCTTCTATCTCCAGATCTAGACCTCCAGACCTTTCGATCTCCAGGCATTTAGATCGTTCGGGACTTCTAGATAGTTTTGGATCTCAAGACCTCAGGACCTCTTGATCTCTCTGGAACCCAATACATCTGGATCTCTAGACCTTCTGCTTCTACACCTTTGGACATTAGAAGGGTTTTATTTGGAGTTGTTGTATGGTTTATAGGTGGTGCTGTTGCTGGTGCTGGTGGTAGTTTCCCGCCTGCACTTTAGGCTGTCAGGGTTTGGGCTAGGTGCAAGCAGCCGATCAGCTCCTCAAAGCATGAACCAGACTGGCCTTGGTTTACATAGTTTCTGCATAGGCGTGACCTTTGCTCGAGAAACTTTGGCTTACCCAGTGAGCATGCTCCTTGGCATTTGCTGGGCTCTAAGAGGTCGCCTGCATTACAGTCAGCTGCCCCGGCGCGTCCACATCGAGCCGAAGAAGGAGGGCTGGATGCATTGGTTTCCTTGGTGAGTTTCCCCATCACATAGGCAAGTGCAAACTGGACATGATGTATTTTTTGTCCAGTTTGCACTCGCCTAGGTTAGTGAGTTTCCGCATCACACCATTGCGTGTCAAGTATACTTCCTTCCCCGTCACTTGCGATGGACACATCCGGTGTGGGGGGCGGAGCATGCCCGGGCAAATCAAGAGCTCGATGTCTTGTGCTAATATTGGCTGAGCCTCCTGATCTGAAATCCACTCTGTCCACATCGACATCTGGGTGATGTTTCTCGGTGCTGCTGGTGCTGGTGCTGTTGATGCTGGCGCTGGTGCTGGTGGTGGTGCTGCTGCTGCTGGTCAGTGGTATGTTCAACATTCGAACTTGGGGATGATGGATCCCATATAGTTTTCCATGTGGTGAATTCAGCAACCAGCCATACATGGATCTAACCAACAATTTAAGGGCAGCGATGGACTTGTAGATTCTGGGTAGATGATGTTCATTGATCAAGGGGGAAGGTAGTGCTTTGGAAACTTGATTTTTGACTGTCCCTACCGGGCCTCATTGATCTCCCTGATCTACCCCTGAATCTCCCAGTCGGTGGACTCGGACTCCCCTCCTCGACGCGGATCTCCCAGGCCTCCCTGCAAAGCGCGCTCGACGCGGACCGCTCGGAGCGACCGGTTCGGGGGGGGGGGAGGATGGACCGGATGGGCCGAAGGTCGGGTATGAAGGGGATGAAGATGACCCTGCTATTCGGACGTGGACGAAACCAAAACCACTGGGTGAACCATTGGGGAAAGATCGTCGAAACCGTGGTTCGTTGTTCCAAAGTCCGTGTGAGGTTGGGACGTACACCGGGTGAAGCCACCTCCCTTGGTGGCTAAAATGTCAGACAGGTCTTTTAGGGGACGCCCAAAAGGCGGTGTTACTATAGTGGCCAGCTCGGCTCGAGAGCGCTGTGCCCTTCACATGATTAGAGTGAAACAAGACATCGCAACCCAACTACCAAAACAGTTTTAAGGATCTTCAAGGCTCGCTTTTTGGATTTTTGGGGTTGGATATGGATACGGTTGGATCTATATAAGGATCTAATCATTCAGTTCAGAGTCGTCGCACAAGTCAGTTTGGAGTCTCATTCTCATCGTACACGTTGTGTCAAATTTATATGAAATTATCACATGACCTACCGCGATGCGGAATCCGTGCTCTCTTATGCTAGACAATAATCTTGAATTGCTTGAGACTTGGAAAAAAGAACCTGAAAATCAGAGGGTTCAGGCCAAACAATCCATGTTACCAGCGCGTACTTGTCGAAAACAATTCCGGATGTTGGATCACCCAAATACCTTAGACATCTTCCCTTTGCTCCCTTTGCTTTAGACCTACAGGCCTTCTTCAGGCGGAAGTCAGACCCCCCCTGCATCCTGCAAGGAGACCTCCGAGCGAAGCGAGGCCCCGGACACATCGGTGAAGACACTGAGACCCGACCCTTTCGGGTTTCCGGACGGACCTGCCTGCGAAGGGTTTTTGGAAGAAAATAAGGAACATAGACCGGTGAACCAACTGCTTGGGAATGTTTTAGGTTCTATACACTACACTAAGCAAGTCCGAGTTGTAGGAGGGATGATCTTCGCTTCCGCCTTGCGAAGTGAAGGGTCTGCATGTCGGGAATGACGGCGTGTCTGGAACACCAAGGGGTTTGTTATTTTTTTTCCAGTCCTGGGCAGTGCTGTAAATTGGAATTTGGAAGTCGCAAATAAAGTATACAGTCTGTGCTGATGTGGGACCAGTCCAGAACCCAGGCAGAACATGAGAAACCGATGTTGGGAGTCAAACCTAGGGTTTGCATCATCCACTATATCAGAGCTATCCCGCGAGGCAAAAGTTATCAGTGCACAAGGTATGTGAATGCTTGATAGCAGTGTCTTTCTGGCGAAACTCCAAGCTTTCGCGGCCAGTTCCTGACACCGCAGGGGTCCAGTTTCGCATTCGCACAGCGGTCCACTGACCAAGTGGGAATTCCTCGGTAGTTCACCCGGTTGACAAGCGGTTAGCTGCTGGTCACAGCAGTCTAGCTGAGTCTAGCTTTTGCCTTTGTGAGAAGCTGCAGGACAGTTTCAGTCAGCTTCAGATGACCAGGTTTGGCCAGTCCCGCTTCATGTTGGAACGCTAAAACACTCAGAGAGGTGGGCGATGAGGGCATGGGGCTCCACCACAACAGAAAGGTGACCACTTCATTCAGATGACTAGGTTTGGCCAGTCCCGGTTCATGTTGGACCGCTAAAACACTCAGAGAGGTGGGCGATGAGGGCATGGGGCTCCACCACAACAGAAAGGTGACCACTTCATGCACCGTGTGTGATGTTGCCACCAACTGACCAAGTCTCAATTCTCCCAAAAATTAATCTTGCTCCCGTTTGCTGAAGCAAGTCAACGCGGCAAACGGTTAACGGATGTTAACGGTGGTGCTTCGTGCCACATCCACGTGGGCAGCTGGATGGCCGCGAAACTGTCTCAAAACGGCCGGATGTTCAGTGTATACACCCCCTGGAGAAGGGGTGCTGAGTCAGTTATTTGAAGGGCTATGTAGCTGGTTCATGCTGGTTCCTCACGCTCCTCACCTGGTGGTGCAATGTGCAAAATGCTTTTAACCATCCCAATTTTTGGTTCTAATCCACGGACTATTACAGTACAGGTCGTTCGTGTCCAACGTTGGATTCCCCTCATTTACTGCTTTTAAGGGAAGATATCTTACTAACCCAAGTATTATATAAAAGATTATAAAAGGAAGTTATCGACACCTTCATTTCTTCAAGTTGGTTTTCGGGTCCTCACCATCTCAGCCATTCTCGCCATCCTCTCTCTCTGCAGGCTCCGCAGGCGCGGGGTGGAAGCCAAACCGTGCGAGTTCGCATGCAAGCTCGGATGGAACCGCTGACCTCGAAGAGCGAAAGGCGGTGGAATCACCGCCTCGCGCTGACACCCCAAAAGAGAGAGGCCGTCGGAATCGTTTGGCCGTGGAGTCCCCCAACTTCCCCTCCTGAAAGGGCTTGTTTTGCCGGAGAACCCTAGATAGGTGAAGAATGGGACGAAGCATTCAGTTGTGATGGGACGATGCGCCCCACAAATCCTCTTCCAGTCAGTGGATGGCTCCCTGTGGATCGTCGGATCCCGGAACCCCGCTCGACCACCGACCGTGGCCCGGGGATGACCCGGTGGGGCGCGTGTGTTTTGGTGTCCAGCCTCCTGGACCTGCAGATCCAAGAAAAACACAAGTCGTGTATGGAACAAGCCACTTGGAGTGACCTGCTGGGGAATCTGGGATCGCCTTGACAGAAGTGGATGATGTGGTTCCACCGTGGAAAGCAACGTACGCCATATCCGGTGCTTGGATTCGAGCGGTCCGACCAGACGAGGATCACACCGGGCACGTGCCTTGGCTGTCGCTCGGCCTCTTCAGCTCCACAGGAGCGTGCGCCATGCCCCTTTTGGTGAAGGGCATGAAGGGCTGACCTGCCGAGAGCAGATTTCCATGTATTCAACTTCGCCAGCCGTGGAAACTGCTCAAAGTCGGAAGAAGCGAGCCAAGCAACACGTGCAAAGCTCGTCGAAAGCTCGAACGGGAAGCGCTTTTTCAGTTCGCGCGCGTAGGTCTGCATGAGCACAAAAGCACCTTGACAGCACTCACCAAATTGCTCAAGGAGCGAAGTAAAAACAAAAAACTTGCCTTCAGTGTCTTTCTGGAAGACATTTGATGTTATTCGAGAGGCACTTGCAGGGTTGGGGACTATGAGACAACGGGACATCGCACACAAGATGAAGAGAAATAAAACGTATACTTATTAATGTTCATCATACTCATTCTGCCCGAGAGTTCCACGATTGGCTTCATTTCTCTTCTGCTTCAGAAGCTACCTCGTTCAGCATCCTGGGTTGCCCCGAAATGGTCGAACGTAAGGACACCATGGTCTTCGTTGATGCCCAAACCACGCTACCAGCCACCGAATGCACCGTGGCACAGCGATTCCGCGTGTTTTGCATCGAGAACGGTCGATGCTTTGACAGGGCGACATGCTGGGCGGGCACGCTGTAAACCAATTGCTCCTCGGCCCAGAAATCGTGGGGACGGGCTGGCTGGCGTGCTTGGAAGAGAACCTCAGAATTAGCTTATTATATTATACTATATTATGAAGTGTCATCTTCAGGGGAGGAAAGACTGACCAAAAGCTGCAGGAAAGCCTTGGTGTTTCTCAAAGGAAAGCCTTGGTTTGTCATATACTTGATACACACACGTGCATTTGTCCGTGTACAATGGATTTATGGTTTGCGCAGGTGTCGGATGTGTCCGCGCGTTAGACCCAGTAGTCATGAGGTGACGCGGCAAACATGAGGACAATCCACCAAGAATGTTCAATCAGCTTTGCCCTTTCAGGAGCACAAATCATCACAGGAGTACGTATCCAAAACCATATAATATATATATATATATATGTATAATACAATTACATCCAGTGAACATGCCTAGTCGCAATAGTATTCGTACCCTCTGAATCCCAGCCTCCTTCAGGGGCCATTTCAGACCGTCCAATGAAGTAAGAGTATGAAGTCAGCCTTGAAATTAAATGTGTATGAAGTAGAGAGACTTGGGGAGAAACTCCAAGCGAAAATGCCTCCAGAAGAGAAGAAATCAACAGAATTCCAGTTGTGGGAGGGTTCAGACCCCAATTGAGCTATAGTACACATATAGCAGGAAGTTTAATGGTCAACCGTCTCAATAATGCAATAGCCAGAACTCTGGGTTTGTCGTATTTTGTGATGGCTGCGTTTGACCGGCAGTCTAGAAGGGATACCATGGTAACATATGACCGCGAGGCTTGAAGATGCATTGGAGGCCTTCAATCCATGCAATTGCCAGTAGTGAGCAGGAATATGTGAAACATTGGCAAACAACATAAACAACACAACTTGCACAAACTTCAAAAGCCGCAATGCAGAAGAGAGATATCATTTGACCCATGCGTCCCATGCGTCAAAAGCGCAACTTTGCGGTTCATCCCCAGTTTTTGTTCGCTTGCTAGCTTGGTGAAGTTGTTCAGGATTTCTCTATTTAGATGTGTTCATTGTGAACGCAACAAGTGGAAGGAGGATAAGGAAGAATGGACTAGTTGAATCATCCCAAAGACCTTGAAGACCTTCCCCAGCAATGGGCCCTTTCCAGGAGACCTGTGGATTTATCGTTTTAGAACAAATGATGACAAAATATACCTCACAATCGCCGTTGCTAGAACTGCGTGAGGTCTTCAAGGGAGCCAGTAGCCCCTTCTTAGTGTGTGGTAAAAGGTACAAACTGGTTAAGTTGGTTAAGTGCTACCATTCTGCTTGCCATTGCTTGCTGGTGCATCTAGAAGGTCAACATCATTGGGCAGGCTTCACATAGGGGAAGTTTCCACTGGCCCAAAAGAGAAGGATGCTGTACAACACTGGTGTTGTCGTCGTCCAAGGAGGCCTCGGCAACCAGCTCCTATTCACTGGAGCTTAAATACTACAAATTGAGTCGTAGCGTCAAAGGGTCATGCGCATGCCACGTTTCCGAGTGGTTCTTTACTAGAGATTGGACCACTGAATGAGGAATGAGTGATTCATGAGGATGCAGTAGCGCGAACTAAGGTATTTGTATGAGTTTGTACTTTGCTAGCTTTCACCGTTTTATGTGTCCAAGAAACAGGAAACATAGTTTGCCACTCCTGGCACTCACCTCGTCTCACAACAGGGCAACAGGCAGACAGACTACCTTTCTTCAGGTTCCAGCTCCCCTGCAGATATTAAACCCCGGGACTGTATGTGTGTGTGTATATATATATATATTTGTGTGCCCAGCAGTGACACATGTTGTTCCACCCAAGCCCTGCCCCAACCAACCCTCAATCGGCAGTCCCTCATCACTCAGGGGCAAAGAAGTTGCGGAGCTGGCAAACCAACTGCGCCTTGCAGGACAAGATCGGATCATCACCTGATCGGGACCATGACCCGCAATCACCTGGTCTGGGTCCACTGGGTCCACTACCCCTAGGCCCTAGGCTATGGTCATAGGTGGTGCTTTATCAACATGTCATCAACGTGGTGGGAGAGGTGCTGGTGTCATTCAGAACCGGAAACCAGGGGATCTCGGCGTCACGTTGGATCGGCTGATTGGGGGATCGGTTGGGACCGGAGGGAGCGGGATTGCCAACCAAGCAGGGTTGCACCCAATGGAAAAGAAGTTGATTGGAACTGGAAAAAAGTGTAAACCATTAAAAAACACTCGCAAATTCTCACAAACACTTTATAATATATCTATAAAAAATTATACATGTTTTCATGGGGGCATGCGAGCAGACCTCGTGTTTTGCCGGGGAAAATTTCAGCCTTGTTTGGTGGGTGCAGAAGGCAAATGAGTCAGTTAGTATGCATTGAGTCAAATTTCCAAGTTCGTCCAGCGTTCCCTTTGCAACTTTGAAGTTGCGCATTCGTACGCATTCGTACAAATCCCAAAGCCCTAAAAAACCAAAAAACCTGCCAATGGACATGTTTCTTCCCGGTGGTGCTCGACATGGTTGTATTTTGATTGGGGTTGTTCAGGGGTTGTTCATCCCGTCGAGATGATTTCCTGTCACATGATGATCCAGACTCCAGACCTTCAAGCCTGAACAGTCGACACTCATCGCTTCAACTAGATCATCCTCCTCGAAGTGATCCAAGAACAACCCGTTTGTGAACTCCAGGTACTTGATCAACTTCAACTTCTTGTTATTCAATCTTCGTCTCCTCCTCCTCCTCCTCCTGCTTCTTCTTCTTCTTCTTCTTCTTCTTCTTCTTTGACTGTTCTTCAATTTCATCAGTGATCTTCAGGAAGCTTCCATCCCCAAAGTTCATTGGGCACAGTTGAGTCTTGTAGGACCTTCGGGTTGAGTCTTTATGAGACTCCAAAAGCCGACCATCAGCGGCCTAGGCATCAGATCCACCAGCAGGTCCTGGCGCAAGACAGCTCCAACATGACGGTGCGAAGACTGGGAGACTTTGGGAGACTCTGGGAGACCAGCAGCTTTGCAAAGCCTCGAAGTCACGATGAGAAGAAAGCGAAGCACGGAGATGTTCTGCGATTTTTTTCAAGTGTAGTCAAACTTGAGTAATTAGCTCCGGTCACCTCGTTCCACCCTCACCGGGGTCACCACCCAGAGGGTCGGTCTCTCGCCCAGTGTTGGACTGCGTCCAAGTCAACCCACTTCGCGGAGCGAACGAGAAACAGCACAATGGCATCACCCACCTTCCACAGTGCCGGTGTCAAATGAAAAAACAGAAGCACTGAATCTAGTGTGAGTGTGTCTTGGTGTTTGATGTCCATTTGCTTTGGGCATCTCTCATTCTTTGAAATACATCTACCTGTACTCATCAAGGGTCTTTGGATCTCCCCTTGGTCGCCTCTTTCAGATCATCCGGACCAGCTCCGCCCAGCTCCGCTGGTCGAGGTGGCGGCCAAGCTCCGCGGCGAGGTGGCCGCCAAGTCCGCTGAGTGCCGGGGCGACGTGGCCCCTTGGACGGACGGACGTGGGGGAAGCGGTGGAGGGTGTGGAGAGGGGTGGGGATGGTTATGTCGTAGAGAGTTCAACGAAAAAATATGAAGCACACAGAAAGGACTGAAGACTGAAGATGTCAAAGCCATGGCTGGTAAAGGAAGGCGTTTGTCTAATTACATATTGGATCGGTGAGCGTTTTTTAGTGCTATGTTCGAGAGGTCTTCCCCCCCAAAGCGAGAGGTCTTGTTTTCTCTTCTTCGGACTGGGCGCTGAGTTGACTCAAGGGAGCTCAAGGGGTTTCTCTGACGTGGGACTTGATCGAACGTTGCTCTTTTTGGATTTGGAGGATTTCAAGCCACGAAAAATCCACGTCTTTCCCCACCCGTCAGGTGAGGCTTGTTAGATGTTAGAGGAGGAGGCGGGATCCTCCTCTGCCTCTGTCTCTGTCTCCTCAACAAAGGCCATGGCTGCCAATGAAACATTCGAAGGATTGGTTCAAGTGGAGCATTCGTATCGCCTTTGTCGACGTCAGAACTCCTGGAATTGTCATTCACCATTCGTTATACTGTAAAGAGATTGGCTCCTTCCTTCCGGGACATCGTGTACCTGCCATCCAGCAATAGTTTGGTTGGACTTCCTGGGGAGCAAAATGCATAACTTTCAATTTCTAGGCTGCTTCAAAGGGTGCTTTGCTTTTCAGCACAGCTTTCATTGCACCTCCGGCTTTGAATCTTGACCTTTGTCCCTAAAGTGTCTCGTATCTCAAGAAGCAATGTGGGGGTTGGCAATTCTAATAGTTAAAATCCAGAAATACAAACGATCCACATCCTCTTCTACGATTTACCCAGTTTTGCCGTTCGGTGGTACAAGATGTTGTGCATCAACACTTAACAAGTTGGGGAACTGGGGTGTCCCCTCACATGCCAATTGGATTGCTTCCAGCTAGCCTAAGTAAAAAAAAAGACACACCAAACAAGGGGTGTCGCCTCAATGTTCGCCTCATCAACCCAATGGATCCCAGCCTGGGTAAAAAGAAAGACTCATGTCTTGAAAGCCACTCCCGATTCATTCCAACATATCCATAGTTTGCACCCAGTTTCGAGGAGGCCCCGGAGAAAACATGCGAGTGAACGAGCACGGACCAGTACGGTATGGTTCCATCCCGGTTTTGCAGACAGTGCTTCAGCTGACTGGTGCTGCTTCTATCGGACACTTCCCCTACAGGTCAGCTTGACCTCAGTTACTGGGAATGAGGTGAAAGATGGTAAAGGACTATAAGATGCTCCTACCGGTCAGTTTGACATCCTTCTTACTCTATAAGTTGATCGTATACAAAAAGCAAAAAAAAAGAAAAACGAAGTCCTGCCTCGTTTCGGTGGGTTTTGTCCGACCTGGGTCCACTGGACCGACTGGTCAGAGGTTACCCCACCACCTCAGGCTGCCTTGCGCAGCGAGATGCTGAAGAAGATGGACGGGGCGTCGCCGACTCGCCGGGACGGGTCGGGGGGGGAAGTGGTCGCCGGCGCGACGTGCCTTTCCGGAACGAGGTGATGAAGATAAGGATGCTATGAGGAAGATGAGGTGTGTCCCTTTCATGTATCATTGCCATGTTGTGCATCAGGATTGTAGGTAAATGATGACGATGTGCCATTAGGACATAATTAGGACCACTGATGTGCTTTTCGTGTCTTTTGCCTAACTTCTGAACCCGCGGTGTTCGGATCACTGGTTCAGTCGCTGACTGGTCTCATGCTCCGAAGTTTGGTCTACAAACAAACAACGTATGTATTGGTTTTGCTGATCAGGGGAATGGTTTGTTTTCTCTGCAGGTTCAATCCCCCTTCGGAATATGTTAATTATATGTTTATATGTTTTTGGTCCCGGATCCGCAAATCCGAGATGGACCGTTTACCAAGAGTGGAGTCCGTTCAGATCTTCTATCCACTCGTGGATGTTTGTCGTTTCATTCATACCAAACGACTGAACACCAGTGACGTAACATATAGTGCCCACGATTTCGGAAAGTGGTTGATTTGTTCATGATCTTCCAGTGCAGTTCCGGGCAGTTCCACATACTGTCTACGCACCTATGTGCACGCATTGATTTATGCGAAAAACGGGCAGACCCACATATAGCGTCATAGAGAACATGTTCCTTGCTGAGTCCTTGTCCTTGCAGCTCCTCAGTGTTCGCTTGTGGTTGAGCGTTGCATGGTCCATACATGGTACCGGTCTTTCCACGTGCTTCCTGGCCCGGAACAGGTCATGTCTCCCGTGTTCCGGGAAAACCCGTGTCAATGTAGACATTGATGAGACATTCTGACGAATGAATAAAGAGGTTTTTACAATCAGTCTAAATGTCTGAGTCAGTGTAGACACTAGATGAATCAAACTAGACAGATCCAAGAGCAGCATTACACCAGCGTTCGACAGGAGGTCTCTGCCGCAGGAGGTGCCCACTCAGCACTCGTTGGAACGGTGTTGGGCCGTGTGGTTAGGGTTGGTGGCCTTCAAAAAGCCAATTGCTACACTGGAAATCATCACGGAAGTGGAAAACCAGCTGTTGGTACTCGGAACATGGTCCCCCTCACAGATAGGGCCCCTGTTACATACACTACACAGCCTCCATAGATACTTGTTACTACTAGCATGGCACTTGTTACGTTCGTAGCGAACCTTGTTACTACTAGCGATTTCGAGTGTCAGGAAAGCTGCCAAAGACCCGCAACCGGTGAAATCCCTTCGACGTGGCCGGGATCGGAGGCTGCCGAACCGACCTCCGACCTGTTCGACGTGGCCACTCTCGTCGATGGGAGAAAACCCACCAGAACGGTCCATGTACCTCACTGGTTTGGTTTTAGAGTTGTAGGGTTTTTGGATGTTTTTGGCGATTGTAACCTGATGTGGTACATCGATGTTACAGCCATGGCAATTGCAACCATCAACGCTTTTGGTTCCAGTCACCATCAGACGTTGCTGTGCCTCATGTCTTAGATTTGTACAGACAATGTGGATTGATTTTGAAACCTCCAGGTTGCAGCGGGAGATTTATTTTCGATATTCTGGATGTTTCTTTCCTCGCCGGTGCACTTGCCAACTTTTTTTAACAGAAGGATGTATCAAAAATGTCTATCTGAAGAGTAATGCCCGTGTCCATGATGCGTTCGTCTGAATCGCTTCGGACACCACCGAGCGACTCGGCTTCACAAGCACCGGGCGACTCGGCCCAGCTAAACCAACCAATTCCGCCGAGCGAATTCGGCGAACACCGGGAATTCATGGGAATTTGGCGTATGGGGACTGAAAGGCCTTTGGCGTGTGGATGTTGGTGGGAGAGAGAACTGGGGCCATGATTTGGTTGGTTGGCTTTCAATGATTTTGTTGGTTTCCAAGCTCTATCTATTTGGGGCGCGGCTTCCTATGTCTTGATCCCACTGACTGTTGTCCAGAACTTCCGTGATGAACGACGAAAATGAACTTCTCCAGCTGGTATAGCCATCATCCACCACTAACACTTCGCGGTCAAACGAGTCATTTGGACTCTCAGCGATTGGACTCGAGGGAAGGAGGCTTGAGCACCACCACCGCAAACCGAACATGTCGATCGTTGGGAAGAGGGATGTGTCGATCGTTTGTCCGTTCTTACCAGTACTGGTAACATCCACTGGGCCCTGGTAATGGGATAGACCCAAGGGATGTGTTTTGTTGGTAAAAACATGTAAAAACTATCCCGCCAAGTAGCGATGAAGCGGTTTGGAAGGTTTGGGAAGGAGCACGAAATGGACACGCTGGGCAAGAAGTGGCAGGATGATCTACTGTACACTGAACCGTCAAACTTTGACAGAAATACGGATCATGTAGATCTACACCTCCAACAGGTCACCAATTGAAACCTGCAACAGGGCCCTTCCCAACCCTCCATGTCGGAAACCTGTTGGGTTCGGTGCTGGTAGCTGTTTGGCCATGTCTATTCGTCCCCACTCAGTCTGTGTGAAAGTGCAGGAGCCTGAATCGTGTCGCAGACAGTGTCGTTTTGAGAACTTCATGAACCAGACATGTGTGAACTCATACGTGTCTTCATCCAAAAAAATTCACGGCTGGAGCCAGCTGACTGCTCATGTCTGATTTTCTGAAGGAAAACCTCTCACCAGTTCGATGTGTTGCGGCTCCCAACCCGCCGGTTGGTCTTGCGCGTGCGCGCGCTCGCGCAATCCGTCCAGGCTCGCCCCAGGTGGGCGACGGATCGAAAGGTGGAGGTGAGGGTGAAGGGATAGGTGGGTCGATGGGCAGCTGGGGCAAAAGGACGGTCTTTGGGGGAACTGATTTCGGGAACTTCCTTTACTTCAGCCGGTCAACAACATATCGTCGAACTGGACAGATAGGGGATGGTTTTTCCCGGTGAAACTGGAGGAAAGAACAACCCCGCGTGAAACGGACATATGGTACGTCTGATGTTTCTTGGTCGTTCCATGTGCGAGGACCGAGGCGTCCAGGTACGGAAATAGATGGCGGAATGGTCGAAGCGGTCCCTGGCAGACCCGGTAGCTCGTCGAAGAAAATCACATCAATCCGGTTTGTTGGTCCCGACTGCCAGGAGTGCGGGTCGTAGGGCCTGTTTGGGCGAGGGAAGCCGATCTACCTATTGGCTGTGATTCATGACATCAGAAAGGGTGGAGGAAGTCCGCCTTGGACATGTTTGGACACCTCGGTGGGTCAGGCATAGTTTTGGTAAGGGGTCGGACCCTCATATGGAGGGGTCTGGGGTCTCAAATCCTTGTGGTTTTGAGGGACCAAGGGCTGCTTGGAGCGTCTGGGTAATATTTATTCAGTGTCAGATCCAAGCATCACTTCGACTGGAAATGTGTGCAACATCGCCATGCTTTTTCGGAATCCATCGTTTTGATGGACCGACCAACAGAATCTGTCGCTCGATCGCTCAGTCGGGGTGCAGCGACGCACATCAGACGCTGGAAAAGGGAAGACGTACAAGACAAAAAAGGATGCGATCGCATGTGTGTGATGTCAGACGAGGAGAACACTCATCGGAGGACACCGATTTGGTCAAACGAGGAGCACCAGCACCAGGATCCACACCAGGAGTAGAAAGAGAAATTCAGAGAAAAGTTTGGCGCAGTCAAACGCGCAGTCGGGCTGGACCAGGATCTGACCAGACCCGTGCAGAGTATTGATTTCTTCAGAAACATAGGGTGAGGGTTGATCTATGGCCGCGATTTCTCGGCCCACAGCTCTCGCGCCTGTGGATGGGGCACTGTAATAAGTGCCGGCAGGCGCCTGCGTGTGGGGCGGACTCCTGGTGTGTTGGCTGCTCGGCACTTGAGCACGTGCAGGAGGAGCTCAAGGTGCGCTGGGGATCGCCTGATCTCCGGAGAGCAGCCAACGACCTCCTCGTCGACGCTGCAAGGCAGGTGAAAGTGCTTAGGGCGCTGTCCTTGCGACTGCAGCCCGTGGTGCCTCCAGGATCTGAGTCGGGGCGGAAAGAAGGAGCAGGTTGTCGAGGAGCCACTCCAAAGGCGCTGGCTCTCCCGAGGGAGCCGGGTGCCGCAGAAGAGGAAAAGGTGGTTGAACCAGAGCCGGAGGGTTCCTATTCATACACCTACACGGACTGCGAAGAAGAGGACGAGCTACAGGAGGAGAGGGCACCGGCCCCGAAGGTACCTGCTAAGGTCCCGCCTGTTCCGCCCCCGGTGGTGAAGACAGAGGAGGTTGAGGAGGCTCCAGAACGAAGGAGAAAGAGTCGTGAGGAGACTAGGTCAGGACCTGCCAGTTCCCACAGAAAGAGGAAGGAAAGACATAGAGGTGATAGAGACCGACATCGAGGACGACGAGGAGGCCGAAAACATCAACAAGTTTCGAAGCGGAAGTCAGACCCAGGAGTCAGGTTCCATAAGAAGAGAGGATTACACGAGTTGAAACGCTTGAGGGAGGACGAGTTCCCTCATCTTCCGGTTCCCCCGCGATGTCCGCGTTGAGGACGATCTTTGATCATTGGGAGGAAGGCGAAGAGTTTGTGATTGAGGATCAGGAGAGATGGACATTGTTAAACATTGTGCTTGGCGATTTTGTCGAACTGTCGCTTTCTTCTACAGACTGGTCACCCTCCTCGGACGCCACCGTCGGTTTTTTGGTGATGGGCCATTCGGTCACCGCCGACGGGGGTATGGCGCTGAGGTGTCACTATGTGGGTTCGACCGACACTTCATTGTCGAAGAGGCTTTCTGGTCAGTTCAACAGGAGAGAAGGCTTTGTACATCTTTGCATAAGCCGGCCTTGCACCGAAGCCGAAGAAAGCTATCTCCACACCACCAGGATAAAGGTGTTCAGTCGCAATGGGTTCAATCCATCCTACTTCACTGCCGCTCACCGAAGGCAAGTCGCCAAGTGGTTGGGAGAGTCAGAGGAGAGCGAACCCCGAGGCGAAGAGGAGCCGGTGGAGAGTGGAGAACCTCGTGCAGCCAGGGTCAGTATTCCAGAGTTCAGCTGGGTAACAGAGGATGGAGGTCAGCTGGACAAGGCCCGGGCAGAGGAGCCAGAAGGTCGTCGAGCGTCGAAAGCCTCCCCAAAAGGCCGCGGGACGCGCCCAGGCGCGCTGCGAGCTACGCCTGCTGCTCGTGGTCGAGCGCGGGACAAGGGAAAAGGCATAGCAGGCAGTGGAGGCGCTGGGGAGACGAGGCTTTCCCCTGGTTCGCCGGTTGGTCGAGGAGATTCGAGGATGTCGGAAGCACACGAGGGAGGTCAGGAGCTTGGAGGAGACTTGGGGCTAGGCTCGGAGAGAGACAGAGAAGAGATGTCGACTACAGAGTTGCGAAAGAAGCTCGAGGCAGTGAGGCTGAAGCTAGGAGGTGCTCCTCGACCTCCGATTTCGGAATTGCGAAGGCTCCCCGACGAGGACGACATCGGGGATCGATCGCAGGAGCGACCAACAGGTTCCGGCTATGTGGAGGATATGAAGGGCTTGATGACGGGGACCAACTTGAAGAGGAAGAAGGCATTGGAGGATACAAGAGGCACTACTACGAAAGATGTCTCGGAGCAGCTAGTTCGACAGGCTCAACATGTTGCCGCAGGGAAGAAGAGGAAGATGGAGGAGGAGAAGAGCAGTGGCGAATCAAGAGACGGAGAGAGGGCCGAGTTGCTGGCCTTGTTGAACCAGGTTGCACGGAGGAGTTCACGAGGGAGCAGAGGGGACAGAGACCCGCCGAAGAGATCGGGAGACTCCGGGCATTCCAAAAAGAAGAAGAAAAAGAAGAGAGGAAAGGACAAGAAGAAGAGCAGGAAGAAAAGGCTGGTCAACGGGGTCATAATGAGTACAAGTGGCAGCAGCTCCAGCTCGGAGGACTCATCGAGGTCGGTGGGGTCGATGTCAGAAGAGCAATTCGAAGCGCCGCTACGCAAAAGATCCAAAGCGGCCCCTGGTTCGGTACTGAAGTTGCTAGTTCAGAAAGCGCAAGATGCCTTGGACCAGGGGGCATTAGTCGAAGTGGCTCAGGGATCGACATCAGCGATCACAGATGGAGTCAAACTGACCACGTACTACCAACTCCACATCAAGCCCCACTATGCGCAGCAGAAAGGACCTATGAGAGACATAGCATTGATGGCCAGGGTGTTGGACACGATCCGAGCAGGTTCCATCGGGCGCGCCTGCGACATGCTGGCGGGCCACTTCCTAGCGGCCCATCAAGCGCTGATGGACCAATCCTGGGTGCAGGCGAAATATCTCGAGGTCATAGAGCCGGAGGAACAGAATGCCACATCAGCGGCAATACTGTTAGAGGCGAGAAAGCATGCCAAGACAACTCTCAAGGCCGAGAGCTTCGACGCGTGGCTCCCAGGAAAGGGCTGGCAAAGGCCTTGGCAGGGAAGTGGCAAAGGAGGATGGCCAAGCGACAAAGGAAAAGGCAAGCAGAAGAAAGGAGGAAGAGGCAAGGACAAGGGAGGTTGGCAAGAGAGAGAAGGAAAAGGAAAGAACAAGTGGAAGGAAACACACGACAAGGGCGACAAGGAGAAAGAGTGAAGGAGAGGAAAGAAGATATGAGGCTGACAGTAAAACCTTTGAACAGAATTGAAGGTGTGGCGCCAGAGTTTGAAGAGGAGAGACTTGAGGAGGAGGATGCACATTGGTCGGGAGGAGACACTACAGGACAGATCCCCTCTGGACCTATTGCGTCCGTTGAGGTTGAGAATTCAGGAGCATTTGAAGATGGGCAGGCAATTTGCGAAGCAGCAGGGAAGAGCATTACCAATTTGAAGAATGCTGGAACAGTCCTGGCTTGGCTGCTGATTCAAGCCGCTGAGAGAGCACATGAGAGTGAGTGGAGATGGATTTACAAAGTGGCTTTTGAGGCAGGAAAGGCCGCGACTGGTCACGGGGGGCCCGGAAAGGCTGCCTCGTTTCCCATGCGCAGAGGACGTACAGAAGGCGTTTTTTGAGGCCTTGAAATCAGTTGGGCTGGAAGAGGCTAGCTCGACAGCTTTCTCCGAACACTGGGCTGAAGATGCCTGGCTTTACTTGTGTTTGCAGTCCACCAGCGGCCTGGCGGGGGGCAGATTCCCGCTGGCACCTGGCAGATGGACCAAGGCAGAGGAGAGAGGAGCAGACTCAGCCAAAAGGGCTGTGGGACGGCTGTTAGCATGCCGCTGCGAACCCCTCCAGGACTTTGAAAAAGTTGCGAGTGACCTTGCTGCAGCTAGGATTGATTACAATGGTGAGGAAACCGGGGTCTGTGAAGCCCTGACTCTTAGACAAATCATGCCTGCTCTCCCCCCGCTGGGGCATGGCGGGTCGATTCCCTTGGTTGATGTGGTTGGTCCTGCTACCCGAGAAATCCTTGAGGCACCTGAAAAACTCTTGAAGTTGGATTTTGATCATCCTAAACCGAAGGTTCCTGGTTCAACTCATTTTGGAGTAGGAGAACGACTCCCTGTGTGTGAAACGTTGGTAAAGTTTGGAATTTGTGAATGGATCAAAGAGTCACAGGTGGTGAGAGTGAGAGGTGAAAAGGTGCTAAACGGACTCTTCGGGGTTCGAAAACCTGCTACGCTGCCAAGTGGTGAACCAATACTCCGGGTGATTATGAATCTGAAAGCAACCAACAGTGTCATGCATCAGATCCGTGGAGCAGTCGAAGGCTTGCCAGCCATCACGGCCTGGCAAGCGGCAGTGTTGGAGAGTCAGCATTGCTTTCATTACTACCAGTCGGATATTTCTTCAGCATTCTACTTGTTCGCGTGCTTGGTTGAAGTTCCTGGCCTTTTCAGTATCATATCCAGGACATGTGCTGGGAAAAGATGACGGAGAAACTTACCATCTTGCGTGTCGAGTTCTCCCGATGGGAATGCACTCATCGGTGAGTTTGATGCAAGAGGTGTCTGAAGAGGTCCTGTGGGCCGCAGGTCTCGATCCTCGAGCTCAGGTCCGTAGAGGACTTCCCGTCCCCCAAGTTCTTTTAGATACTGCGTCTCAAGCTTCAAGGGAATTGCGGTATTTTTGGCAAGTTTACTTAGACAACTTTATGGGGGGCGAAAAGAGGCTCAAAGGTGATGAGAGCACGCTTGGGGATGGGGTGCATAAGAAGGTTGAGGAAACTTGGGAAAAGCATGGGATCATTTCGTCCGCCAAGAAGAGGGTTTCCAATCAGGTTGAGGTTGAAGAGTTGGGTGCCCTCCTGCAAGGAGAGATAGGTGTGGTTGGAGGTACACCCCATCGGTTTTGCAAGTTGGTGCAAGCAACCCTTTACGTTGTCAGTCAAAGGTTTCTCTCAAAGAAGAGTGTTCAAATTGTTGCTGGACGGTGGATTCATGTTCTCCAGTTCAGACGACCGGGGATGAGCTTTCTGGATGCAGTTTGGGAATTTATCTCCAGGGGAAGTGAGGAGAGTCAGGCTGCGCTTAGGACCAAGAGGGAGTTGTTTTCCATCATGGGGGCCATTCCCTTGTTACACACCTTCATGGGGGCAGAGGTTGATAACCAACTCTGGTGCTCGGATGCTTCAGAAAGGGGAGGAGCAATTGGGTACAGCAAGCAGTTGAGCCCTGAAGGGATGGACTTTGTCATGTCTAATCGACTTTCAAGCAAAGTGCTGGGGAGCTCGCATGTGTTGGTGATTGCACTATTCTCAGGCATCGGAGGAACTTTTAGGATCTATGATTTGCTTGATGTAATCCCTCTAGGGGGTATTGCGGTTGACATCCATGCACCAGCCAATCGCATTGTGTCGCGACGGTGGCCTGGCGTAGAGATCCTGCGGGACATCCGTTTGATCACCAGAGATGACGTGGCCAAGTGGAGAAGAACGTTCCATACTGCACGAGAAATACACCTCTGGGGAGGTTTTCCCTGCCGTGATCTCAGCTCGGCACGGGCAGGCCGACTGAATCTGGCAGGAAGTGAAAGCGGGTTATTCTTTGAATTCCTCCGCATCTGGCAGTTGTTGGTGGATGAGTTTCCGCCGGAGGTCGAGATTAAGGTTGCGGCAGAGAACGTGGCATCAATGGATGAGAGTGCATCTATGGAGATCTCTCACTGGATGCAGTGTCAACCGTATTTCTTGGATTCGGCTGATGCTGTACCCTTAAGACGCCCGAGACTTTGTTGGACTAATGTTAATTTAGAAGGGTGCCTCCATGGAATCACTTTGTTGCCGGATAGACGATGGGTGCGCGTTGAAGCTAAAGCCCCTTTTCCTACCACCTCCCAGTGGATTACCCCAGGCTTTGAATGGCCAGGTGAACGTGATGTTGGCTGTTTCCCCACGTGTATGCGGGCTGTTTGGAAAGACACCCCACCTAGCAAGCCTGCGGGGATTCACAGGGCTGACAATAATTGTCGTGCCAGGTGGGCGGCATCAGGCTATGTTTATCCTCCCTACCAGTTCAGAGAGGAGTTCCTGCTTTGGAGGGACCAGAAGTGGCGCCTCACCAATAGTGGAGAGCGTGAGTTATTGATGGGATATGGTTTTGGACACACGGAGGTCGCCTGGTCCGCTAGTAAGATAAAGGGTGATCCTATGGGCTATGAACGTGAAAGATGTTCATTGGTGGGTGATGCATTTAGCATCTATTCTTTCATCATTGTGGGCGCTGGGCTGTGTCGAAACTTCCTTTCCCCCATTCACTATCGACATCTTTGCCAGCGCATGGGTCTTTCCCCGGGATTTAGAGCAGCTCTACGACTTCAAGCCCCCCTTGCTCGAAGGCTGCAGTATGGTTGTCAGGGCGTTGCAGAGGTAGATGGACGTTTCCAGGTTAGGGATTTTAATCTGCTCATGCTCAGCCGTACCAACTTCACGGGCAGTGATGTCCGAGTGGTTAGTGGGGACTTGGTCAACCCGCGTGCTTTCCCCCGGCAATCGGTCCGGTCCAATTGGTTTGTCTGGGAGAAAGGTTTTCACACTTTTTGGCCCCGACCGCAGCACATCAACCAGCTGGAGCTCAAGACAATTCTGCTCAGTGTGTTGCGAGGCATTCGTTCACTTCATTGGACTGACAAAAGGGTCTTTCATTTGAGTGACTCCTACGTTTCTATCAGTGTTATTGCAAAGGGCCGATCTAGTAGCAAAATGCTGAATAGATTGTTAAAAGTTCTCAACGCCCATCTCCTTCTTCATGGCGTGTATTTGGTCATGGGCCATATAGAAAGCACAGAGAACCCCACTGATGCCGCGAGTCGGCGTTAGAGTGATACAGAAGCGTACCAGGGCTGAACGCAAAGCTGCCCGCAAGGGCTTGAACTTGCGTGATGCTGGGATCACCGCAAAAACTCGGATTGCCTATGTGGTGGCGCTGAGGCTGCTTCTACCTTTCATCGAACAGATTTCAAACGAGTCAGAGCTTGACATGGCCTGTGCAGAATGGGTTGAAATGTGTTGGGAGGATGGAGAGTCATTGTATACAGTTGGTAATGCCTTGTCAGGCCTCCATTTCTTTGAACCTATCACCAAGCGTCGCATCCCTAGTGCTTGGAAGTTGTTCTCCACATGGAAAAAGATGGAATGGCCTGCCCGTGCGCCTCCCCTTACCTATGACATCATCCTTAGCTTAGCACACTATGCTTTGTGCCACAATGATCTATTCTTTTGTTGCCTCCTTGCGCTGGGCTTTTTCACTTTACTCCGGACCGGAGAGCTGTTGAATCTTCGTGGCCAGGATCTGTTGGCAAATGATTCGTAACTTGTTGTGTCTTTAAAAGATACGAAGACAGGTAAGCGTAACGCCGCCGATGAAATGGTCACAACAGACGAGCCTTTTGCAGTATTGGTGGCACAAACAGTTCACGATCTTCTTGCTTCACGTAACGCTCTTCATAAACAGCTCTGGGAGTTTTCCGGACAGGCATTTAGATCGCACTTCGATAGCTACATTCGGAAATTCAAATTGCAATCCCTTGGCTTTAGGCCATATTCCATGCGCCGAGGGGGCGCTACGTGGTTAGTGCAGAGTACAGGAAGTATGGAACTGGCCCTGTTGAAGGGCCGCTGGGCCAGCCACAGAGTGGCCCGAATTTACATTGCTGATGGAATCTCCAAGCTACCTGATCTTCTACTTCCGCCAAGGACAAAGGAACTGTTGTCTGCGTGGCACCCACGTCACCTCAAGAGTGACGGAAAGGGGGACCGTGGAAGAGAGTTCCCACGTTGAAGTTGACAGATAAACTGTAAGGTAA